CATTTTTTTCAAGTAAACTTTTTCGATATTCGAACAAATAAGCCTACTTTCAGCGATTAATTTGAAAAAAAGCGGAAGTCACGTGACCCCGATTGAGTAGGCCATTTTTCATCTTTTTTGAATCAAAACTTGACGTCTAACTTGAATTTCAAAATAAGTCATTAATAAAAGTTTTTCCCTTTATGAATGACACTGTATGTTGACTGTTGGTAACAGTGATCAACAAAGTTGTCTGACTGTATTGGCGGGATAATAAACACAACACTGCCGGAAGTGAGGTCTCCTTCAGGTTCATGTCTGTGTTTTATTTTCCAGTCCTTTTATCTTAAAATCAAACAATAAATACCCAAATCAGTTGAAAATCATAACAGCAAATTCCCAGACAAATTGTCTTGTGTCTATTTGAAATAGTTTAATACTATTATAATGGATGTATGAACTGAAATTAATTTTAGTAGTAATTTTTCATAAAATTGAAATAAAGAGGATATCTTGACACAAATTGATGAATAAATCTGCACTGGTTCAATGGAGTTGTACAGAAAAACTGGCATAAAAAGGATTTGTGTCATATCATTTTTCCAGATGGTTCAAGTGAGGTTTCAAGACATGACAAGTGTGTCCTCAGTCTTCATAAGTATCAAATCTTTTTCAATTTTCACAATTGGGTAGAATGACCAGGTGACAGAATAATATATCTCTACCACTACTAGGTGTGCTTATTGATGAAAACAATTTTAGCCAGATATTGCATTTATAATATGCAAATTATTAGTACATAGCCTGCTTTATTGGATCTCCTGTCTAGCTGCAACACTAGTCAAAGCTGGTCAGAAAAGTCTGTAAATCCCATTATATTACATGTGAAATACATGATTTTGTATAATGTAAATATTAGGTACATGTCCTGTCAAATGTACCATTTTGTGAAGTTTTTTCATTTAATGTTTTGTGTTAAATGTTATTTATTGCATAACATTCCTTGAAATAAAGATTATCATCATCATTATTATTATTATAATTATAAAGGCTGTATGGCTCACACATCAAGAATCATTCACATCAGTATTGTTGAAATTAATGACTATTTCACTATTTTGGTACCTAGTTGTACTTAAATCTAGGTGGAACAATCTAGGTTAGTACCTACCAAAAAACTTTTTTATCCATGAAAACTCCAGCTAGTTCTCCCAATTGTTGCAATTCATCCTGATGGGGTCTCAAACTTCCTAGTTTGGTCATATTTTCCATCGTTTGAACAGGCATGATATCCAGACATTAAATCACAATAAAAAAGTAAGGTCTGGTAGTCTGGTTGATATGGTCAAGTGGTCACAGGCTGGCTTGCTTAGTGGTTTTGCACTCTTTTCGATTTTGTTAAATTTATTGATATTATATTAATAATATTAAAGTTGATTAAGTATTCGGCTTGTTCGCGTTCAAAATATAAACAGTCCATCAGGAGCATGCGCGATTTCACAGAACAGTACGAACAGTGTTGCCAGAAGAAAAAAGCTAATTGTACTAAAATTACTATCGAGTTGTACTAAAATCGAGTGGAATTACCAGACATGAGATATTAAAAAAATCGATGAGAAAATTGATGAACTTATTTTCATTTTTCATTGTCAGAAGTGACTTCATCATATATAAAAAAGTGTAAAAGAAGTAAATAAAATAAAGAATGTCATATCAGGTACATAGTCAAAAAGGTACAAAGCATAATATACAGTGTCATCCATAAAAAATGACTATCTTCATTGGATATGAAGAAAAATCAGAAAGAAAATTTCCCATCGGTGATATCCTCATATGAAAGCTAGGAAGATATGCAATATAAGCAGCATCATTCATAATAAAAGATTACTGGATCTGCCAGTCATCAGTACTTTTGTTTCTATTTGTAGCTGCATGTAATAAATGTTCAATTGTACCAAACCTGAGCTGAATCCCCAGGTAATACGGAACTCTCCGCGATATCTCTAAGTAGTTATCTTCAGGATCAAAATGCGAAATTCTCCTGCGAGGTGCCAAAGATCACTATAGGCTGTCACCATGGGAAATACTCTCTGGAGTCGTCCGAAAGAAATCGCGGAGATCTCGCCTCAGATTTGAAGTATTCCTTATTATTGCGAATTCTTGAGGTTATCTATCACAGGAAATGAATGGGCATTTCTTTCTGCGAGCACCCAAGGATATCCTGGACGTAACAAGATCGAGCATTGCCCATTGCGAGCTCATAAAGTAATCACAAACATAACCTGAGTAATTGATGAATATTCCTACAAAAATATTGAGTTGGTTTTTCCAATAGCCTGGTGTCCTCAGTTATCGAATAATACAGGCACTATCTCGCCTATTCGTCAATGATATCAAAAACATCAAAAAACTGCATTGAATGGCATTAAATAACCTTCCTAATGGGTCATGAAGAATGTGATATGCTAGATACTAATCAGTTTTTATTTTCAAATAGCATATTGTCTCTGAAAATTGCCAGTCAATCTATTTGGAATACTACGATATAGCACATACTTGGTGTTTTGTTCATTGATAACAACAAAAAGATGAACATTTTGTACGTACGTACGTACCGTTTTAGGAAATGTTGTCTACAGTATACCCTGTGCTGATTGTGATCAACATTACATAGGCCAATCTGGACGATCTTTGGCCAGCAGAATCACCTCATACAAGAGCGACTGTAGACACCATCCAGAGAGATGTGCCCTTGCAAGTCATGAGAATGAGTTGGACCATAATATGGATTACCATTCAGCTAAAGTCCTAGCCATTGAAAGTAACTATACAAAAAGGAATTTTCTAGAGATGTCTTTCATTTCTCAAGAATCTCAAGGGCGCCGTACATTATGCTATTTCTCGGCAAGTTTGAAGCAATGCTCGCAATTCTCTCGATATTCCTGTCATATTTTCTTGTTCATATTCACTATTTTCAGGTTTTTTGAGCCTTCAATGTACTTTTTGAGGTTATTTGGTGTTTCAGGCCACGTTATGGGGAAAATTTGTATTTTATCAAGATACTACGATGAATATTACTTATAATTTCACTAAACTTGCCTTGAAATTGCAGGAAAAATAGGACTGGTTCTATTACGAAACTTGCATGAAACTTGCCGTGAAATATCATAGACGCATGCGCATTGTTCGATTCAAAATTGCATTGCATCGAACTTGCTGGTAAATGGCATAATTTACGGCGCCCTTAATTGCATTAACAAAAAAACAGACATAAAACATCTAAGTGAAATATCGTGACATGCGCGACAATGTACACACAGCAGGAATGCTCAGAATATACAGTCACTTCGACTCTCGCCGTATTTTCGTGAATAACGCACATTTTTGGTGTCAACGTCGACCTTCGGGATTTTCGACACAATTTCAATATCAACATTTTTCTGGTGTTATGTGAATAATCAACATTGAAACATATCGGGAAAATCTATTCGGGGTGCCGGTCTTGTCAATGGTGGAACCAAGGAGCTCCTGAGAACATCAACCATCAAGGGCAATCAACCAGCCATCTTAGTAGCAACCGGCAGAAATTCACGTATAGCCAGGTATTTGTCCATTCATAAGTGATGCTCTCGATATTTTTATTGTCAATGAATACAGTCCACCGCTTAGTAGCATTTTCGTCAATCGACTTATAATTTGGAAACGAACAGCAAGTTAGAATTGAACTATATTTTCGGCACATTTTCAAACAGAAAATGTCAAGGTCTGTCAGAGTGAATCTATCCATTCACAAAACAAAATTATCATGAAGAAAGAGGAATTGATTGCAAAACTATGTAATGAAATTGTAAACTCGAGAATCAAACTAAGGAAATCAAGTTAATTGCAACGTGTCTAAGATAAGGATGTCTCTCATGGGAATCGTTTTTGACTTTTTCTGACGTTAATTCAAGATATACAGGAAAACATAGGACACTTTCTCATTCCCATTTTTCAAGCTCTACAAAATAGCGTTGAGCTATACCCCATTATAGACATCCTTATCTTGGACTCGAGGTATATAATTGAATTTCGTTTTCAATAGCGACCGAACCAGCTATAAGTATATCCATATGTATCTATTTTGTCATATTAAAATGTTGTCACATGCAATCTTCTCATAAACCGTTGTTTCGCGAAAAGTGCCGTATCGGTATAGAATTGAAGTGGGTGTTTATACCCTATTTCTATTTTCCATCTACGGCTATGATTGATTCGACCGGAAATATAACGTCGCCTGACATGCTGACGAAATATGATCGTGTGTGTTGTAGACATTTTCAATCTATTAGCAGTATTATAGCGTCTATATTGCACAAGTGACAGAAGGAATTTCAATAAGAAATAACAAAATTTCATGATGAAAACTATGTGAGATCACTATTCACCTGAAAAATCATATTCCTTCCTCTTGGGCCATTTTTTGTGCATTGTACAACTGCATAATGAGAAGGCATGCTTGAATTAATGAATATGTAGCGCAAAAACACGATTCGTATGCCAAAATATTGTGAAAAACTATTTCAATCCCTTGATTTCTCTGTGAACGAATAAAAAAGGGAGGTTTTGTCTCAATGTTTCACTGAAGAGTGAGGTTGTGTTTCAATATTTTACCTCCAGGGTAATCGTGCACCATATCGCGACCATCGCGACCTAGTCATTTCGGTTATGACCATCAGCAGTCTAGATAGTGTTTTAAGTCAGCTACTCATCCGCAGCAGGTATAGTTCCGCAGCATGCTACCTTGGTGACTAGCGTGAGACACTGTTATACGCCAATGTCAATTGTCAAGAGTTGTCAATCGTCACTCGTCAGTCAGAAGAAAAGAGAGTCCTTTTCAAAAACCTTATTTTTTTTGTGAAACTACTCGAAATTATGTTTCAGATCATAGTTCATCTGTAATATGTAATATGTAGATGTGTATGGTATTTCAAGTTCAACAGAAAATTGGTTTCACGTTGATTGCTATTTTCGAAAGAAACATGTCCTCGGAAGAAGATAATATCGAATTGAGAGATTTGGTTGCCCAAACATTGGAAGCCAATGGAGTACTTGCCCAAATAAAAGTAATACGTTCATTCCATAATGTTATTGACAATTAAAAATTTATACATTTACAGGCTCAGCTGCGGGCTAGTGTATTTCTAGCCTTAGATGAAGATGTCAAGGTAAGATAATTTTGATTCATAGCATAATTTCAAAACTAGAACCTCATCAGTACATGGAGTGATCTTTGGTGCATACAGAGTGTTGCTCAGCTCTTGCAACATCTCTGGTTCAAAAATTCTTTCCTAGGGAGCCACAGGACATCAAAAATGGACCACTGAGAATGGTTTTCATTCAATGTATCACTATTTGAATAGAAAAAAGTTGGTACAATGGGCATGTTTTAGTGAAGAATCCGGTAAAACTGCATTTAGCATGCGATGGGTTTTTCTTCGAAATTTTTTTTTGGTACTTACGTATTTTTGTCTGAAAAACACGAATTTGATAATGAAAATATGAACAAACCACTATTTATCGAGATATTTCGAAAAAAAGTTCAAAATTTCGACTCCTTTTTTTCCCCTTGCGTTGGATGCATTTTCAGGTACTTGCTCTTCTTATTTTGTCATTGGACACTTTATATACTCATGATGTACTTCAATGCCACATTTTTATACAGAAAATTCAACAGGAAATATGATTTTTATGTGAGTTTTTCCTATTTAGTGAGCAAGCATACCAGATGACGACCATTTTATCCATATAAGCAATCCAAATACGAGATGTCAAATGTCAATAGATTGCTTTGGAATGACATATTACACACGCCATTATTTCAAATGTTATTCTTCCTTCTTTTCAATGAATATGGATAAATCACAAGAAAATCATATTTCTAGTTGACTCAATAATGGAAAAAAATGTGTCTTACATTGTGATATATATAAATTGTCCAATGATGAAAAATGAAGGGTGAATTGTTTAAAATTCAATCCAGAAGACAGGCGGAAAAGAAGGTGAAATTTGAAACTTTATAGTGAAATATCTTGATAAATAATGGTTTGTTCACATTTTCATTATCAAATTCGTGTTTTTCAGACAAAAATACGTAAGTACCAAAAAAAATTTTCAGAAAAAAACCCATCACATGCTAAATGCAGTTTTACCAAGAATCCTATTTCATCCATCATGAAATGCTAACCCAAATTAGTTGTCACAAACCATTTTCTGCTCAGAACTTTGTACACTTAAGCTAGCAGGACCACTTTGGATTTTTGAAATTTATCATAGGCCATAATTCAAGGCTGATTTAATACCTGTTCACTGAATTTATTGCTCTTTGATTCATGCATGGGATCTGCTAGTTTATCCTGGAACAAAATCTCTGATGCTTTTGAGTTGCCAATCCTTGTCAAAATGTCAGCAGGCATATCGTGCGTTGTAATGTATCCAACCTGAATTTTTCTGTTCGACAACTTGCATGCTTGGTTCTTCCATGAAAAACTGGATTCTTGATTATCACTGAAAATAGTTGTGGTTTCCATCTCTGGAACTATTTCATTCAAGAATCTTCTTAAGTAAATAGCTTCTTTTGATGCATCTGTAAGAGCCATATACTCTGCTTCTGTGCTGGATAATGCCACTGTTTTTTGTTTAGGAGATGAACTTATCACAGCACCTGCCATAATGTAAATATACCCTGTGTAGGATCTTCTGTTGTCCAAATCAGCACCCCAATCTGCATCAGCATATCCAACCAATGGATGATCACTTCCTTTATATATATATCCTTTATATCGTAAAACATGCTCTGCTGCTATCCAATGCTCTCGTCCATAGTTTTGATTGTATTGACTCAAAACACTTACAGCATAAGCAATATCTGGTCTGGTTGAAACTACAAGATACATTAATTTTCCAACAAGACTTCTGTAGGGAGTTTTTGACATTTTTTTAATAATAATCATAACATTCATTTGTGATACATTGCTACAATTCCTAAATTGTTACCCATTTCTAAGTAAATATTGTTATCAATACATCATATCATATTTTAAAGTAACAATTATTCATTAAAGATAATGAGAGGGTTAATATAAATCGTTTTTATAGTTTCTATCATGGAATTGTATGAACAGACAAACTGTATTTATACTGGTATAAGACTGTTCATGATGTTGCTTTTATAATTATACAATATTATTTCATTGAATGTAACTTTTAGAATTACAAAAAATATATGAATTTAATTGAACATTACTAAAAAAAAGAAAGAGAAACAAAGAAATAAACCACTTGAATTCAATTTCTTTTTGGAAGAAAATATTTTTTTATTTTTATTTTGAATTCAGTAATATTCCTAGAATTTTTTATGTCTTGTACTAGTTCATTAAATTTTGAAAGTGCTCGGTGGGTGAATCTCTTTTGACCAATTACAGAGTTTGCAGAATCAAGGTGGAACAAGTTATATTGTCTTGTATTATAATTGTGAATTTCTGAATTTCTAGTAAATATAAAATTAAATTTCATCATTTTATGGATAATAAGATATGATAATTTGAGAGTGTCCATTGCATAATGTTCCTCCAAAGAAAATGTGTTAGTCATGGAATGAAGTTGATTTGTTGGAGTGTCAAATGGTAGACGATACAGTACTTTCAAAGCTTTTTTATAAACAGCAGAGATTTTATTGAAATTATTTTTAGTACATGATCCCCATATATTACTTAAATATTCGATTCTGAGAATATGTGAATATAAAAATATATTAGCTATTTTGGAATTCAATTTAGGACATCTTCTCAGGGCTCCAATAATAGAAGAAATTTGTTTCATTAGATTATCAATATGTTTTTCCCACCTCAATTTATCATCAATCCAGATGCCAAGATATTTCATCTGAGAAGTTTGTTTCAATTGTTCATTTTTTATTTTTATATTCAATTCAATAATTCGTTTATTTCTTTGTTTGAAAATCATATATTGAGTTTTTGTAGCGTTAATGGAAAGAAGATTAGAATAAAGCCATTTTTCAAATTTTTGTAAATCCTCGTTTATAGTTTCTTCTAAAATTAAAGGATTTTCATTTGCATATAATAGCACTGTATCGTCTGCGAATATGGTGTAATGACTTTGTACATCTTTGATATACTTCATCTGACTCATTAGTTGCTAACAAAAAGAACCTCTTGACTATTTTTCGTTAGACAAACGGCTTTGGATTGAAAAAATAAAATAGGTTTACATACTGGTTCAAATTCATTTTAGATATGGGCGCCCCATGTAAACCTATTTTATTTTTTCAATCCAAAACCGTTTGTCTGACGAAAAAAGTCAATACATTCTTTTTGTTAGCAACTGATGAGAGATCACAAAACTGATTTTTATTTTGATAAAAAACAGTGGCGTGCCATTTTTAAATGTAATAAATATATATTTCAATCAATATCAACGGTTCAAAAATAGGAAGATGATAAATTATTTTCATTGAATTATAGAGAAATTTGTCCTCTTTTAAAGCATATAATAATTAATATACCATTACATTTGTTTTTTTTTAATAAACTAAAAAATTTGCCAACATTTCAGTTAACTCCATCTAGCGGCGACAGCAAAAGTCAAAAATTCAAAAACAAATAAACGTTATGTAGGGCAAATTATGCTCTTTCATATGAGCCTAAGTTTGCTGAAATTGGTCGAAATAAACGGGAGAAATCTTGGTTTGTTTAAAAAACAATTGAACTTCCCCCACCGCTTTATTTTGATAGATAGAACAAAACGTTTCAGACAAAAAATGTAGGGTAATGGTCAGTTAATATGAAAATGATATCATCGATATACTTTCATTGAACAAAATTCTATAAAAATCCCATTTTTCTACTTGGTGTTGGTTGTTACGACCTCTAGCGGACGTTTGACAAACTCGAAAATAATTTCCAGCAATTTCTCTTGGCGACTTTCATCATGATTTTTATTTCTCAAATCTATACGACCAATATCTTATAGATATGGCCGCTCGCTACTCTTAACTGATCACCCTGTACAGTTAAATTGAGTTGAACAGAAAGTAACAAGATAAGCCTTATGGGTTCCATTTCAGCAACAGGAGCGAATGTTTCGTGAAAGTCTACTTCGGGTTCTTGGGTGAAACCTTTTGCGACCGATCTGATTCTTACTTCGTTCGGAATACCCCTTTTGAACCAATTACTCTCCTATCCTTCGGGCGATCGACCAAAATCCATGTTTCATTCTTCATGAGATCTTCATGTTCCACTTTCATCGCTTGCATCCATTCGTCTGGTTCTGGAGAACAAAGAGCTTGAGTAGTTGTTCTCGGATCAGAACTTTCTATCAGTCCCGAAAATTCTGCTTCAGATTCTAAAATACTGTCTTCTCTGTCTACTGGTGTGACTGGTAAATAATGATACTCTTTCCTAGGTCTACCTTCAGTTTTTATCTTCGTTGGGCGACCTGGACCTCCTTTCAAAACAACATGATCAGGTTGTTCTGAGTTTTCCGCAACAGCATTCTCTATTTGTTCTTCTTCGTTTCCTGATATACTTGGGACATTCATTTCCGCAAAAAACTTTGTGTTCTGCTTCATACTCAGAAGTTCTTTCTTCTTGGATGACTCTATTTGAACAATCAATGTCGAAAAATATGTAACTGTTACGGTTCATGTAATCTGCAGATATACTGTGAGTTCCCAGGAATTGTATATCTCGACTTTGTATAACTTTCTTCGCTTCTGGATTCCAAAGTCTATAGGCCTTCGATTCGGTAGCATATCCTATGAAAATGCATTCTGTTGACCTGGCGTCAAACTTGCTCTTTTTTCTGACTTGTCTAGTACAAGAACTTTCTCTCCGAAGGTTCGGAAATAGCTTACCTTCGTTATTCTCCCCGTCCATAGTTTATAAGGTAAATCACCATCTAAGCTTCGGTATGGGCATCTGTTTCTGATGTGTACTAATGTCAAAATAGCTTCTGCCCAAAAACACAGTGGAAGATCCGATGGAATAAGCATACATCTTGTCAAATACTGTCTGTAGGTTAATCGAGGAGGTGGTACAGGGTTATCCATCGAGAAGGCCCACCCCCATATTTTCGTTATACTTTCACTTAGAAAAAAAAATAATATGCGGAAATTTAATGCCGCAATGAGACCTTTCTAAGGCATTCA